AGCGGCCGTCCAAGTCCACGCTGGCGGACTTAACTGCTGCCAAACGTAATTAGCATCTAAATGCATTGACGAGGCACGGACAGCAGCAGCAGCAGCAGAAGCAGGCGCTATACTATATAGGCTCATCGGGCGTCTAATGCATATTACAGCAGCCAGTGTGCCAGAGAGACATGTGCATGTATGTGTATGTGTACATGTGCGCGTATACATGTTTACATGGCTGTGTGCAGCGTGGATCGCGTGGGCTGCACCAATAAGTATGCTGCATAAAATGAAATTGGGTTATGCATATTTGAAAGGATTCGTACACCTTACTAGGGGACATGCATACATATATGGCAGAGGCAAGCATGCATATAAAGTACATTGTCATCGCCAGAGACATCGTCCTCGTCATGCACAGCAACAACAACAACAACAACTAATCTAGCTAAATCTCATCATTTAACAGCTCATTTATTAGCGAGCGTAATCGATATTATTTATCATATTTATGCCGGCATCGTACACTTTATACAATGACTAATCTCTTGCATGTGTATGTACTATCATAATAAGTAATAAATTATACCAGACTGAATTAAATGATCAAAGTGACCAAACAAGCGGCAGCCAAACCTACATCGTCCTTAATCAAATACGTTTGTATGTTGTTATGCATGCACATAAGTGGTAATGTATGTAGGTTGTCAATCCGGCTTTCCTTCCTGCCCTTGCCAGCGTGTGGGCCCACGGCTGCTGCTCCTCCTGCTGCTGCTGCTGCTGCTGCTGATTCTGATTCTGATTCATCCCGTCACTATTCACAACAAATCACTTTATCCACCCACTTGCATATGAATCGAGAAATCAGTTATTCCTGTTAATTGCATTAGGGTTTACGGCCGCCAATAACTACCATATTTGCATGGCCATCAGGTTGGGAGACAGATTCCGGAGGCATTGAAAGGTTTTTGATTTTGTTTTTGTTTTTTTTTTTTTTTTTTATATTATTTATATAATTTCGTTACTCAGCGCGCTGCCTGCAGAACTGGTAATTCATTACATTTACACTTGTACATATAAGTATTACGCTGCACTTAGTTTTGTTTGTTTTTGGTTTTTATTTGCTTTACTTTCATTTCGTTATTTTTATTTTATTTTATTTTTTCTGCTGTTCCCCGCGCAAAAACAGCCACAACCACAACAACAACAGCACAAGCACCAACACCAACACCAACAACACAAAAACAGAACGTAATCGTTGTGCGAATGCAGAGAACTCGTAGTCCTAGGACGTAGGACGTGTCGTGGGTCGCGAAAGTCTTTTGGTTGTCCGCACAGCGCGACGTACCGCAACGAACTAAAGCGGCGGAGGACATATTGGTTCGTTTAAAGGACGAGGGCGACGAACATGGCATTGGTAGCGTGAAAGCTGAGAAAACACACACGCTTGATAAGGATAACGGCGTCCAAGGACATTCGAAGAGAACTCTCGCAGATTGCCTTTCAATTGACACGCATGCAACTCTCTCTTAACTGACTCGCCTGCCCCTGCCTCTAAGGGATGATTTGTGGTCGAAGACGCAAACATTTCAAGCATTTCACCTTCAATCTATGCGAGATTTTTGCACTGAATGACAAACTCTAGCCGAGACTACTCGGCCTGCAGATGCCCTGCAGGGCGAAACAACCTACTGCAGAGCTAGCACTTCTATATTTACTTCTCAATTCTATTTCAAATTATAATATAAAATTAATATTTCAATTAACTTGCCACTGAAGTATATGCTCGTTAAGCTCCTTCGTCAATTACTTTTCGAGCACACCTCGCCTGCTAGCAGCTAAGAGACTTTGAGCTCTCTCGCGCTCTCTTGCGCGCGCTCTTAACTTCGGGAGCTTTCGGCGAGCTTTCCGCGATAAGCCATTGGTAAACAAACGTTACGTTCATTCATGGAAACAGCAACAACGAATTTTGTCGTGCCCAGCGCGAAAATATAAACATTCCGACATACATACAAACAAGAACACATACATATATATGCACAAATATTTGTATATATACACACATGTGTGTTCACATATGTATGTAAGTATATGTTTGTATTTTTATATAGACGGCGATTTGCAGATTCGGCCGACTCAAAAGAAATAATCAAAATAAAATATGCTGAAAAGCTCAAACCACGGCGCCATGTGCCATTGGCTATGACTCATGGCGCTTGGCCCGACTTACCGTAAATCATGGCTCGCACTTTATAGAGCCCACGAATCAAATTATTAATGTGCAGCCACAACTTACGGGATGACAATTCTACATATGTAAATAATTCCAGCCATAACGAAACACTTTTTCTAAATTTTGACAATACTTCAAATTGATTGATCAAAATAAAAATATACATACGTATGCATATAAGAGCTGGTTTATATATATATAGTAGTGTCCATAGCCTCTATGGAGATCATTATAAATTCAAAGTTTATGCAAATATACATACATATGTATGTATATTAGCACAGATATTTATTTATACCTACATAAATATACAATACACATGTTTCCATGTTCGTCGGCCCACTACACATATGAGATGCCCCTGCATTTGTATTCATTTAGTCATTCAAATACTCGTTGTTGTGACACGCCTCGAAAGCTCTAAACGCCGCCTACTGCGCCAGCGCTTATTGTTATTCCTTGGTTGATTACGAGGGGCGTTTGAAAAACTTGCGCGTGGACAAATCCTTTAAGTTGAAACTACTTAGTTGACTTTAAAGATTGATTGACAAAGATCAGTAAAGAGTTAACTAATACGGAAAAGTCTAAGCCGCAATTGTGTAGAGCACATCAAAACTCTTCTCTTAGATTTAATGTTAAACAAAAGGCTTCAGAATTTCACTTTATTGTATGATTCAAGTTTATATACTATTAAAATAAGTCGAACAGCTCTGCATGCTGCACAGATGTGAGAGGAATCAGCAGATCATTTGTTATGTATTAGACGCTCAGATATTTGCCAGCAATCTACTGAGCTGCCCTCGTATGTGCCGGCTTTTACTGCACACTGTGGCAGCGGCACAAGCAACAATAACGACAACGACAATGCCGTGATTCATCGCAAAACTCAGCGAGACATATAAAATATATACATATATACTACACAGATACAATACAAGTATATATAGAAATACACATATATGTATGTATGTGCATGTATCCATATAAGATTCCAAAATTAAAGTCTCTGTTTGAAGTGCATGCATTCGAATAAGCGTGACCGGAGTTTGCCTCCGATTTTGCAGCTGCTAATTATGTGCGAGTGTAAAAATAAAACTTGGAGCAACCAACAGCAATTGAGATTGCAAAACTGGGACAGATCCTAACACCCAATCACTATTTAATGGTTATATCTAGGTGCTTAAAAGCAAACAAAAAAAAACTATTATCAATTATACGTAACCTAAGCATAATTTATATACATCTTTACATAATATATATCTTACATATAATCTCATATATAAGTATACTAAAAAGTTGAGGTCAAAGTTCATTGGTATAACTTGTATAGCAGAGCTCTACAGCTCCATGAGAGTATCAAAACGGCGGCACAGAGAAATAATCTGTTCTGGTTTTATTTATAGCAATAATACTGAAACGAGTTTCTAGAGCGCAGCTCGCTTTGTGTCCAAGGTTAATCGATTTGAAGGTCTGCAGTTGCCAAATATTATATTTATCAAAATGAGCTGAGAAAACAATGTGTTATCAATGGGCAACAAAGCGCTAAGTTTTGGGTTGCCTTTTGAATGTTGATTCCGGCAAATTTTCAAGATCAGACTGAGTTATATTAGTAGGCCTCAACATCTCATAAAGAAACTCACATACATATAATTATACAACATTATTAGTAATAATTAAAAAAAAAAATCATTTGCAGAACCATTAAAAATCATAAAAGCAGTGAATAATGAAAATTGATTTTTTTTATGCGCCTTAAAAAATTAAATATATTTTTGGGTGTTTTAATATGTTTAGAATTTCTTTTTTTTTAGTTAGTTAGTATGTCAGAATGGTTTAAGTAAACCTTATTCTATTTAAAAATCCGTTTACAATGATCCAGAGGATGATTTACTGTTATTGTCTTGACCAATTATTTTGTATGGCAGTATATACCAAATTTATTTTTATTGTTAAAATGTATTTTTAAAATTGAAAAATTATTAAATTCAATTATTTCGTATAAATTACAGGAAATACAACCAATCCAAAGAAACTTCTTTAAGAGTTATTCGTCTACAGTTTCTCAATTCTTTATTAGCGCTAAATATTTAAAAAGTAATTATTTATTTATTTATTTATTTTTTATTATTAATCTTATTTTTATTTATTTTTGTATTTTTTTATTGTAAGTTTAACTCTGCTCATTGATGGATAAAATTAAAATTCATTCATTGAGAAGAAGAGTACAATTAAACCGAGCTAATTTAAATTGAGCCTATAAACGAATTGCAATTGTTTGTTTTGCCTTTAATTTGAAAGCGCCTTTATAAGAAAATTTGGATTCAGTCGAATATGCTTACGCGAGCTGAAGAACAACTAAGCGCCGTCAATGATGACGTAATTAGCTTTATTTCCGGCGCACGGAATGACGAGCTTGTCGCTTTGTGGTTGACCATGATTAATACTTTCCGAGGTATATGGAGTATATAGTACAAATGCAGGAGTTACACTGCAAACAGAAATACAGAGAGAGAGAGAGAGAGAGAAAGAGAGGGATAGAGAGACAGAGAGACTAATAGGTCGACATAACGGAGTTTAGTGCGATAAGGCATGACAGTTCCAGTTGAGATAAGATAACGAGGCGAACCGGCGCATGCGTAGGCGCAACAGCAACGCATTCGGCATAGGTTTAAACGATTTCGAAACGCACCTGTTATCTGGTCGAGTTATCTTATCGGGGCACCTGAGCAACAGATTGCAAAAGCTACAAATTCTTGTCACTTGTTTCCAAGTTTCTATCTGCTATGTATTCAGTTGAGCAGCGACAACCAAACGAATACGAATCCAAATTCGAATAGAAAACGAATACAGTTCGAGTGTGTGAATATATAGAGAGGACAAACGATAAATATGGTATCTGTGGAAACAATTGGTTCGATTTTCATCAAAGCACTTAAGCTGGTAAGCCTTGAGTTCTATATTTAATAGAAACTAAGTCCTGGCCGCTCAGTGACGAATTTTTGCCCAGCTTGGCTTGGAAATATGTTGAGCAATGGACTAACTCTGCTGGCCTTATCGGTCTTATCTGTGCCTGCCTGGGGTGGGTTACTTATTCGTAATATTACTCATATATACGAAAAGCACAAAATTAAGTGCGGGTCGTGAGTGCGCAATAGGTCTGGCGAAAGCTCTATAGGGCGGGGCCAACGAAAGATCGTTACAGCGTCTGATTCATTAGCCATTGGAAATAGCAGCTAAGCCAAGCCAAGTTAATTATGAACATTTCATTTACATTCTATTGATACTCAATCTTTGCAGATCATCAATCTGGTGGTGATCTTCCTATATCGTTGGGGCGATGGCGGCGAGTTCCTGGGCATTGGCGGCACATGGAATCTGAACGAGGAGAAGAGCGCCGATGCGGAAATCGTGGCGTCCGGCGTGATGGTCGGCTTCTTAATATACACGGGGTGCCACACCATTGCCTACTTCTTTGGCACCACCAAGCACAAGGGGTAAGCACAGCTCTGAATCCTCTCTATCCGCTCGACCCACTCTGATTCATATTCCCTTGCCCATCCAGCGAACTGTGCGACACCATCATGAATGTGGTGGGCACCTTTATGTGGATCGCCGTGGGCGGTGTGGCGCTGCACTACTGGAAGGGCTACATGTCCGACGAGGGCTTCCTCTATGTCAACTCGGAGCGTCAGGTGGGCATCGCCATGGGCTCGCTGTGCGTCATAGAGGGCGCGCTGTATCTGCTGGACACCGTTCTGGCCTGCATACACTACTCCAAGGGCGACACTGACTACACGCAATGAGCAGGGAGCGAGAGTGAAGCGTCGCTGGAGCAACAGCCGAATAACTGACAACATATTTTTTCATTTTCTACCAAATTCAGTTAACTCTAAGTGCAAATTAGTTCGTAATCTACTTATCGAGCCACTCGTGTATGATTCGCTCGTTTAACGTTTTATCTTATTTACCCACTAGCAAACCATTTAGGTTTCGCTCCAACTACACACGTTGGCTAATACAAATTGCTAAGATCAATACAATGAAACAAACAAACAAACCACAATCGATTGTGTTCATATTTGAAAGGGATGTACGGCTCTAATGTACATATATATCACACAGAAAGCCTGGCTCACATATTGAGATTTGTGCTTTGTATTTGGCGTTCGGCTATTATAAATTCTAAACAGCTCGTGGTTGTGTTTTATAGGTCTTGTAACCTTCCCTGAACTAGCTCAGTTGCATCTTTAAGCGTCATTATTATTCAAAGCGTTGCCCGCTCGCCATAAAAAGCGAAATATTTTATTTTTTACCTGTACAGGTACATACTCGTATATATGTATATGAGCGTAAGTATATAAGCAAAGGGTTGTCTGTATACGGATCAAGGCTGTAAACAGGTTTTCAGCTAAGCCGCTTAGAATCCGCAAATCTAATGTATTTCTGAAGAAATCAAATCTATGAAACTGCCTTAAGCACTCAATTGAATAAGCTCCGTCTCCTGCTTATGGTTATTTCCAAAAGAATTTCTCTAAATCTGGCTAATGCAGAATGCTCCACATAGTCTTTATATCTGAGTTTTTCGATACTATGGGGCTCTATATCAAAATATGCAGCGAATGACCAAGCTGATTCCTAGCAACCGCCAAAGGGTGCTGGGATATCAATAAAAAGCCTAAAGATGACGTTACTATGACTAATTGAGATTTGTGTGCTTACATTGGAAAGCTTATAAATAGATAAGCTTTGCGATGTTTTCTTATTCATATGTTCGATAGGATTATAGGAAGTTTGGAATCGTACTTGGTACATTTTGATATTACTCTTGTTTGAAAAAGTCGGATATGAATCATAGGGCTAATACTAATGGTGATCACGGACAATCGGTTGTTGATGATGATGAAATAGATGTTGCTGACGAAAATGAACATGATGATAATGATGATCTAATTAACAAGATCATTATTATCGAAATTTGAGTATCAACAGCTCAACTCAAATCATCATCATTACAATTATTAATACCATTTATTACATTATTATTGATATATTTCATTTTAAATACTTAATTACAAATATTTAAAAGTTTTACCAGGCACAGCACTACACTACGACTGACTAATAGGAGGTCAGGGATGCGACTGAGCAAACGTTATCGTTGCTTCACCCTTTTATAGGTGACAACTCCACTCTGAATGGAGCCTATTACTCTCTACTCTTTATTGAGTAAATTTTTATGCACACGGCCGAAGGGAAACATTTTATTGGTTCTATACAATTTCCGTCTTGCTGTTCGTCTGCTTGCCCGTTTGAATCTGAGCTCTTTTACCGCGATTGAAGGTAGACGCTCAAAATGTAGACTACTTCCATTGACAACCTAACATCGAAATTTTATGGTAGAGCATAGCAAATGGGGTAAATCTGTATCTATTAGGGTCTAGTTGAAAATTCAAATTTTAACGAATACGTTATACATATACATAGTATATATTCTAAATTTCAAGCCTCTTAAATAAACGCGTTTCTGAGATTTCGCGATTGGCTTTGGCTTTGGTAAATTCTATTTTTAAAATCAACTAAAAGCCTGATCAGTTTAAAACGGGGAGTATCGTAGATTTCGACTCAACAACTTTTATAAATCTCTAATTAAAGCAACTAGCTACAACTTTTCCTGAAATGCAATAATGGTATATGAAATATATAGATATATTCTTAAGCCTAGACACTATAACTATAATCAGGGCAAAAACTATATATAATAATAGATTTACCATATATGTATATACATGGTAATAATAAGAGGAATAAGAACTCACCTGTATTTTGGGCTTCCCGCGCCCGTCCACCGCGTCCCGCTGTTGCTTGAAGCTGTTGGCTCTCGCGACACTCTGGGCGCAGAGCGCACAGCGCCGATTCGCAGAGCCATCCTCCAGGTTGAGGGCGTCGAAGAGCATTGGCTGGTCCTGAATGAAGGAGTTGCGCGAACGCTGATTGAGCAGCTCCAGGGTGCGTGAGTCGAGGCTTTCGCGATAGACATTGTGAACTCTGTCCAGGTTGTGCTCGAAGTCCGTATCCAGGTTAAAGGAGCTCTGGCTGCTGTTGCGCGTCGAGGCGGACTGCTGGCGCGCGAGCGCCGAGCTGCTGCTTCGCTTGCGTCGCATCACCACTGTCTTCGGCGTGCTCTCCACGGAAGAGGAGCCCACGAAGGAGGGCGTACGCGGCAAGGGCAGACTGACAGTTCCAGCTCCAGCTGCACTCCCACTTAGTTCGCCCAGGGGCGAGGGTGAGCTGAACTGTGAGTGGTGGGGATGGCTGGCGGTTGTGGTCAATGGCGATTGGAGCGTGTGGACGGGGGGCATCTGCTGCTCGGCTAGACTCATGATGGACTGCTGGCGCTCCAGCTGCTTCTCATAGCCATTGAACTTGTCGTAGTCAATGAATGACATATTGGCGTAGCTGACCATGTTGTCAATTGCTTGCAGCGATTGCAGCGAGGCGCTCCACTTGGGATTCAGCTTGTCTTTTTTGTCTTTCTTTTCCTTTTTCTCTGGCTTCTCCGTCAGTCCAATCAGCGTGCTCTTGAACGACGCGATGAGCGTGCTGGAGCGACGTTTCTGAAAGTTAAGCTGAGGATTGAAGTTGCTTTCGGCAGGTGTCAGGGATATAAGCGATGGCTTGCGCTGCATGGATGCCTCCGCGGAGTCCTCGACGGGTGTGGAGGTCAGTGCCTGTGTGGACTGCCGTCGAGCTGGCGTATTTATTGAGCTGGAGGTCTCCGCACGGCGTCGCAATATGGGCGAACAGCTGGTGTTGGTTGCACCGTCCTCGGCCAGCGAATTCTTGCGCGGCGACGCTGGCATCATTGGATCTCCCGACTTCTCCGCCTCCTCCGAGAGCTGCTCCAGCTGCGGCTCAATAAAACTGCGCCGATTCGGACGTCGAAGCAATATCATTGAACGACTTCGCGTGAACGTGAACGGCGTTTTGCCCGCCTCATCTTTGGACTCGTCGCTGCGCGCCAGATTCTCCTTGCTGCCCGTGAAGTTGTTAAAGAATTTGGACATCTTCATCCGAAAGCTATGCGTACGCTCCATCTTGGGCACTGAATCCACCTGTGACATTGTGGCACGTCGCTCTGCATCGTACTGTTCCTTAAACATTTGCGTAATGTTTGGTGTCGCTGCAGCTGTTGTTCCACTCATCGATTGCGCATTGTTGTTCTTGTGCACCATGTTGTTGTTGTTGCTGCAATTGTTGTTGTTGTAGTTATTGTTGTTGTTGGTGCTGCTGCGATTATTGGCCTTTGAATCGTTGGGCTTGAGTTTTGCATTCGTGGCAGCCTTACAGATCCCGTTCTTATTACTATTTATGGTTGGCTGTTGCTGCTGTTGTTGCTGTTGTTGCAGCTGTTGCTTCTGTTGCTGCTTTTTGTTTGTCTTTTGTAACTTCTTTTGTCCCTTCGCGGCGCTCTTCGCCTCTTTGCTGGAATTCATTTTGCAGCCAATTAACTGGAAAAGACAAAAAGAGAGTTAGACAGAAATATAAATGCACGATAGGTAAGTATATTAATAGCACAATGTAACTCCACTCTCTCGCTCTTGCTGTTACTCTTTCTTTCTCTCTCTCTCTCTCTCTCTCTCTCTCTCTCTCTCTCTCTCTCTCTCTCTCTCTCGCTTTCTTAAGTGCCTTTGCAATGATATCTGTTTTTGCCGTGAGCTTTCCTACATATAAATCGGCATTCTAGTAGTGTGTTCATAGAGCGCCTAAAGCGAATATGGATAATGATATCTCATTCTGTGACTTGTCTAATCTATTGCTTGGCTAATAGCCCACGCAACACTTTAAAATATACCCTGTAGCTAAAAGCAAACGGATAGATCATACTAATAATGCAAATAATGTGTAAAGGATACAAATATTTAACATTATCTTTTGACAGGAACATGTCCTCTTAAAGGATATCTTAATCCTAAATTCAACTATTAAGTTAAAAAATATATTTTAATATACATATTTATATCACATCCATTCAAATTGTCAGTGCGTTCTACTGAGTGTTAACTGTATTTAACCTTACGTATAACAAAATCAACTTATTTGAGCTGACTGAATTTCATTAAATGTAATTTTACGATGGCGGGTTGAGAGTTTATGATTCGCCGTCTTTCTTCTGATATGATGCATCAATGCCCATTCCATTTGTCACTATCAAAGGGGAAGTTGGCGACAAATCAGCTTCGGTTTATTGATAAGGCACCAGAATACACTGAAGCGTAACTCTTCGCATGAACTAAAATGTCGTAATGCATGCCAGATTTCTCTTCTCTCCCATTCTCTTGCAATCTGTATTTCGCTGTACATGGACGTTGTATTGGAAACAGAACGACATATCCGAATATCGAGGTTATACCCCGAAGGATCGTTGCATTTTTAGCCACAGTTTTTAGTCACCGAAAGTAATAATGAGAGCTTCCAATGGACGTGTCGCAGTTGAGAAACATTCGCGATATCAGTTTGGCCAACGGGTCGACAACAATGTCAAACGACGCAAAAATTGCTATGGAGTATGGAGCTACGGACACCACCAACAACACAAAGAGCCACACTCTTATCTGAAACAATTCGGTTTTTTTATACCCCCTCACAGCAAAGCTCAAAAACAACAGTTAACAATTTGATAAGATTTCAAAAAGTCACACACAAATTCACTTGTCTGCGTGCTTCGCAATGTGCCATTTCAGTTAACTGGTTAGAGTTCGAAAATGACATAAAACTAATGAAATACTATAAATAATCTATAATAATAATAATCTGTGTATATACAGTTAAGTACATATACATATACTCTGTGCAAAGTCTTTTCTATCAAGATCAAGATCATCCATCATATAACTACATAAGGAGAAATAAATGAGAGATAGAGACTAGGTAGACATAAGAGGTAGGATAGGTCTTTGAATTGAGCGGTATATAATTTCCTTTCCACTCTCTCCCTCTTTTCTCTTTTACTATATCTGTTAGTTTTCAGTTGAAATGATGTACATATATTTATATATAATTATTGATATACTATAATACTAAAGTTAGTGGATATTAACTATATTATACATATTTGCATATTATATTTACAATTATTATATCAGTTCGAATAAAAAAACCAAAGAAAGTACATCTTTCACATTTTCTCTCCACATGCATCTGATATATTATTGCATAGATCCGTATAAGTATTGTATTACAACTTGCTGTGTATATTGATCTTATTCGAAAACCAGTTTGCGGTTTCAATTAGCGACGCGTTGTGGCTGTTGTTGTTGTTATTATTATTATTGTTATTGTTATTGTTGTCGACACAAGATATTGACACTGACTGACTTGATGAGTATTCATTTAAAATTTTTCCTAATGACACTCACTACGAAGAGGTACAAAGGTATTTCAAGCTTAATAAAGCTTTTTTGAGCATTCAAAATGTATATTTATAATAATTTGTTCATGCCTTAAAATGGGAATAGATATTATGATTTTTTATCTATGATTAGAATAACCTAAAATTAATTGACTCATTTCAAGACGGGCATGCATTCCATGTTATTTATATTCATTATTTACATTCACTTTTAAATTGATTTCAAGCAAATTGAAAAGAAGGCACTATTTTCTTTTTATTTATATTCATTATTTCAATCATTAAATATCTCCCGGTCTACAGAAACATCCGTTTAAGAAGGCAATCACAGTTTATACTGTACTTGCGGTCGCATATGTATATTTATTTCGCATTCCCTATGTGCTAAAAAAGAGATTTAAGAACTCTCTTATCGTCTTTTAAATCCACTTTGAGTTCATTTTAAGTAAGTCTGTGTGTGTGCCTGTACACATGTACATATATGTACATATATCTTTTTCATTTTGTTATTGTTTCTTGTGTGTTTTAATTCAGCTGCTTTAACAGTTCATTTGTTTATATTTTGTATTAACATTCGCATATAACTGCGACACAGCCCAAAAAAAAAAAAAAAAAAATGAAACAAAAACAAAAATTGCTCTTGAAACTTAATGTAAGTACGTATATATGTGTGAATGTACGCATGTAAATATGTATGTACGTACATGTGTGCGCGCGTGCATGTGTTCGTTTAGCTAGCTTGGGATCTTTGTCAAGTGCGCGGCGCAGATGTAAACAAAGTCACGCATACAATTCAGTTAGTATACTAATACATTTTAGTAATAGTTCATATTTGTGGGCATATGTACATTCCGTGCCATTATGTACATAGTATCTATGTATGTAAGCATTTATGTTTTCTTCAGGGCTTTGAGTGCTATGCACACAATATTGCGTGGCCACTTGCGCAACTTGACAACCAGCTGACAGTCTAGCGTGTACTCTTGCGCTCTCTTTTGTGCTCTTGAACGCAAACTTTTGCGGCCACTCACGCTCTCTGTCTCTCTCTCTCCCGACGCGGCAACGTAAGCACGCTCAAATACTCAACTCGTTTTCGTTCGTTATTTATGTATGTAATTATGTGCTTCCATACAAACGTATGGATATACTATGTACGTACATGTACCATAATGCTCAGCGCACTGGTCTTTTAAACATTAACATTATATTAGAATTAATAATTTAATAGTGTGGGAAATCACATGCATATGTTCGCATTTATAAGTATATATGTACATACATATGTATGTGTATTTGCAGCTGTGTTTATATTTGTCATCACTTGTTTGCCGGTTTCCTGCACACAAGTTGCACACATTGTCGCTAAATTTTCTTTTTTCCTTGTATTTTTTAAATTCGTTATTTTCACTTACCAACCGGCTTAATGTCACAGTCAGTTTTGTATTTTAGATTCATTTATCATATATGGCACCTTCATTTACACTATGCCAGTTGCGAAAATAAAGGAGACACTTTGGCACGATGCGAATTTTCTGTGAACGGCGCGCTACAACGCTACTAACGAACACCGCGCGCGCGGGTGACTAGCGGTTAACTGATCGACAGGCGACTTCACAGCTGGAAGCATGCTGAACAAGGTGACGCACTGCGCATGTCCGTTCCTCGTCTCACTCTATGAGCGAAACACATTGACTCGTGTGACGTTTCGCTCTCTGACTGCTTCAGCTACTCTAGCTACAGACGCTTAAGAGCGTGTAAGCTGCAATGTGTGTGTATTTATGTGCACCAGTGCAAGCAAATCAACAGAGTGACTATGTAGGTACAGGGTATTTCTTAGTCCGAGCTCAATCGCATATTTACTGACCAGCGGATTGTTAATCGATTTTAATTTGATCGCAATGTCATCGAATTGCAATCGACTTGTAACGCATTTATTTTACATACGAAAATTAATAAATATACATGCAAAAAATTGAAGCTTATATATATTTATCCATATATGTATGAATTGGCTTTCATATTTGTTAAGAGCAATAATTGAAATTATACATTCGTGTTTCATATACTCTCAATTAAAGTCGCTGAATCGCGATAAGAAACAAAACAAAAGTTAACTTCTACATACATACATATGTATGTATACATGTACATACATATACACGCATTTCTATGTGTGCGAGAAAAGTTGATTAGATTGTTTTAACAAAATTCAATTGAAATCTATAGAGCAGATCAAGTTCCAGTTGTTCGGTCGTCAGTTACAGTGAATTCAGGCATGCATATGAATTTATTTTAAGAGTCTGGCGATGACCACAGCGAAGCCCGTGCTCTGTGTGGGCTGCACCGTAATTGACTTTGTGACAATCAATGAAAGTTTCCCTACGGAGGACACGGATAGGCGATGCCTCGACGGATATTGGCAGCGAGGAGGGAATGCCTCTAACGTTAGCACCGTGCTTCGATTGCTGGGCGCGAATGTCGAATTCTTCGGCATGCTCAGTAGATCAAACGGCTTCAGAGTACTATTGGACGATTTGGATCGACGTGGCATTGGCACACAGCACTGTCCCAAAACGGAGAAAGATCCGCCGTTCTCCTCAGTGATAATTGTCAAGAAGACCGGCTCGCGAACCATTGTGCATTGCAATAAAAACTATCCGTATATAACGTATGAAGACTTTATGAATATAAAACTGGATCGCTACGGTTGGGTTCACTTCGAGGCACGTCATGCCCACGAAACAATCAAAATGATAAAAGCCGTGCAGGAGCACAATCGAATCCAGGGCTCTAACATCCGTATCTCCCTAGATTTTGAGACAACGTTTGAGGAAAACCTACCACTGTGCGGCCTTTGTAATTATATTGTGTTTTCCAGCGAGCTGGCCAAGCAGAAGGGCTGGAAGAGTTCCCAAGAAACTTGCTATGCTCTTGCTAGCAACGTAGAACCCACATGTCCTAGCATAATTTGTCCTTGGGGCAGCACGGGTGCTGCTTGTCTGGATACAGCTATCAATGAGTGCACCAATGTACCGGCCCTCAGGCCTGATCGTATCGTGGATACCCTTGGTGCCGGTGACAGCTTTATGGCTGGCTTCATATACGCTACCTACGTAATGCAGTGTAACCTGCCGGATGCTGTAGGCTTCGCTAATCGCGTGGCGGGTCACAAGATCATGGATTTCGGATACGATCATATTGCGGGGCTACAGAAAGACAAGCTTACAACGGATTGAACATGATTATATATTAATTATATGTAAACAGAAATAAAATATAGTTCTCAAATATATGAATAATGATATACATATGTCGGAAGAAAGGAATCAAACACATAAGCGAAGCTCCTCTAAAGCCATCATTCCAGAATTCCAAGAATCTTCATTAAAATTGCCATTGGACTACCACAGTTTTCACAGGCACAGCACAGATGAGTATACTTGCTGAAGTTTTCAGTGCCTATGTATATTTGGTGAAACATGCTCCTTTGACATCTGAATCTGTGGTCCCTGCCGATGAGGAGGCGTTGCCGATGCCGCTGGATGCGCTGCCATTTTTATCTTTCTTGCTTTGCTCATTTCTTTTATCAATTAGCTGAAGATTACAAAATGAAAGTTGCTTATTAAACAGGGTACATGTTCATTTGTAAAGATCTATTACTTTATCACGCAAACGGTTGATTTTCCGCAATCTCTCAATCCAGTTAGATGCATACAGAGTCTTTTTACTCTTACATTCATAGACCAGTGAGGCCAGCTATAAGAGAATAATTGGATATATTTGTTTATTCTTGTAATTATCGCCTAACTAGTACTAGTAATGCGAACTTAATAGACATATTTATAATAAAATATGTATATTTAAATGAAATAGAGCTCCAAGTATTTGATATATACATATATATATCTAAAACTCCAAATTACAAGTGCTAAAACATTAATCATCATTCTTGGAGAGGACCTGAGTCCAATATCACTCACATTTGCGTGCAGCGCCATCTGTCGGGCTAACAAGGGAGCACTGCGATCGGAGACTATTCGCTCCTTTGGATGGCAAACGAAACTAGTCATCTCTTCACGTGCGTCGACATAGATACGATTCGAATTTTGCTCCAGCGGCTCCACAATTACACAGGCGTGGTTAAACTGGCCCTGTAAGAGATCGTTCATCAGATTGTACTATGGTATTATAGAAAAGAAAAGAACATACTGATATCGTATTCCTGTCATATTTCTCTCCACTTTCGTTGTAAATTATTTTGACATAGTCATTGCCAATATGCTTTTTCTTCTCCGTACAGTTAGGATCGTCCTGCAGATTTGTAGGCATAAGAGTAGCCACATGAAATGTGACCTGAGCGGGAAAACCGGGAGTAATTAGTTTGCTTATTTATTTAACAACATTTTAAAGAAAACTAACCTGCATTATATCATCCTTCCAGATGTAAGCGAATTTTCCATCTGCACCACTTTTGTCCAGATGAATAAAGAGGTTATTCTGCTCGGCGTCCTTGAGGCTAACCAATGTTCCAATGTTGCGAACAAATTCGACGTAACGTGTGCTGCCGTGGCAGTTACGCAAAATTTCAACCGCATTGTTACACTGATTTGGACCAACATACAAAACTCCGATCTTATGCGTCTCAAACGGTGGTACGAGGTCGAGCAGTCTCAATACGGTCGGCTGATCCGGCCCCACTTTAAGCGGGGTTTCCGTCACCGCCTGTTCACCAGTGCCGTAGAGCTGCAGGAAAACGAAGCTGGGATTCATGCACAGTTTGGCACTGATCGGTGACTTGGTGGCACCAAAGCTTCTGAAAGCTTCGGGCGACGGTGACCGCGCCTTACCGTTGTTCACCTCACGCACCGTAGAAATCGTTTTAGAACGACCACGCATTACGTCACCACCGCCATTATTATAATCGGGACCGGAATTTTTGCTGCTATAGCCGCTGCTATTGGACTTGGCTAGACCGAGACCGGGGCCAGCTGGAGTGGGCGACTGTTTGGGTGTGATAACTGCCTGCAGTTGACCCGGTGATAAGGGTGGCTTACCCACAGCGCCCTGCTTCAGAGAGGATGCCGATGCAGAGGTCTGCACCGTGCCCGGCTGAGCTCCGCTCTCTGAAGCCTGGCTGTTAACGTCGTCGGCTGAGTGTTGCTTGGGCGGCAATGTGCCAGCTCCTGGCTGCAGTGGACCCTTCACAACTTGGGCAGCCTGAGGCGGCGTTGAACCAGCTATTTCCTCGGGTATGGCTTCGCAGCTGACCCGCATGTCTTTGGTGCTGTACTGTACGCTCTTCTTCTTCGACGGCAGCTGGTGTTCTTCGAAGGCTGCCTTGACGGATTCTCGCTCTTGGGAAAGGGGTGCTGGCTTTGCGGCCAAGAATGCCTGGCGCCAGCTAGAGGTCATCTCTGGACTGGAGTTGACGCGCCGCACCGGATTTCGTACTCGACTCTGGCCATCGCCAAATGCCAAAGCATCATCGTCGGCTTCACCATCGCTGACGCTACCACTGAGTGCTGCATCCTTACCCCGCTTCACACAGGCGGCCAGGCGTGGAATATCAATGGCCGCTGTACCGCCGTTGCCTCCGCCGCCGGCACTGCTCACGGAGTAAACCTCCTCCTGGCGATACAATGCCCGCGCCTTAGCCACCATTCGGTTGCGAATTTCTGCGTTTGCCGCCACTGTCGCTGGTGCAAGACCTGCTTCTACTTCTGGTGCAGGGTCTGGCACTGGTTCCTGCATTGGAACTGGAACTGGTACTGGTACAGTTTCTGATACAGTTTCTGGTATTATTTCTTGTTCTGGTTCAGGTCCTGGTGCTGGTTGTAGTTCTTGCTCCATCTCGAGCTCGGCCTCTTGTGCTGCCTGAGTTTCCTGTTGCGTTTGCTGCTGCTGTTGATGCTGCTGTTGCTGCTGCCGTTGCTGCTGGACTAGTTCCTGCATTGGGTTGTCTGGCCCAAAAACGCCGCCAAAGGCAGTGGGCAGGAACAGTGAAACGACGCTATTGAAGGGCAAATCCTGACCAAAACAGTCGCTGGCAATGGGATTCTCAATACGAGTTATCCATGAGACATTGCCCGTGGGACGTCTTATGAAGATTTCGGCCCAGCTGGTGCAGGCACGCACACAAACCGGCTGCTGCACAGCTGGACTCGATCGAGTAGAAGGACCAACGCTAGCTGTTGACAACGAGAGCGAATTGCCCAATAGCGAAGTATTGCTACCAGTGTGAGAGCCCTCGACTAGGCCCCCAGAAGCTTCTGGATTGGACCCGCGTCGCGAGTACGTGTCTAACGAGATCGTTGAACTGTTCGATATCTGCCGATGCGGATGAGCGGTTGCCTCCGAATTCGATGTGGATGATGACGAAGTGTGCTCCGTGCTGCCGGCGCTCTCATTCACGCTGCTATGCTGAAAGGTCATTTTGGTGTAGCGCCGTTCGCGCTCCGGCGACGAAGGCGGTTGCACCGTATCTCTGAGACCCTTCGAGTTCAGACTAATGCTGGGTGCCTTACCCATTTGAGCGCAGCGTTCGCAGAGGCCGTTGCGCGTCGGTCCCGATGGGCAGCCGGAAGTGGTAATTGTGATCAAATTATGACCCACCAGCCATGTTTGAGAGACTCCATCTTTTAGCAAATAGTCAATAGCCGGCAAGCTGCAGTTACAGAGATTGCATAACTAATAGATTCTCGAACATGTCAGTCATATTTACCGCTTGGGTAGGGAGGGGCACGGCGAGAATGTATGACGCTCCAGAAAATCAAAGCATGTCTCAACCAAGTCCGCATGATAGTTGCGCAGCATTTTGTCCATTGTTGGTCGCATATCGGCTTCATTGCGGGTCGTTGCGCTGTTTCTACTGCCGCGTTCCGTAAGACTCGTGCTGCGCTTACGACTGGAGGAATCTTCATTCACGTGCAACGAGTTAATGTTGGCTATGCCATCGTTAAGCATCTTGGCATTCGACTGCATGGACTACAAAACAATAAAATAACAATTGGGTAAATGGGTTACGAAAATGATGTGAATATTAGCTTACCGATCTGATATAGCTTACGCAATTCTTGCGCTGCTCCACCTTGATCTTCAGAAACCAGCCCGCTATCACATGGTGAGCCAATAATACGGTATAGTGGTCGTATCGTATCCTATTTGTGTAGGGCAGCGATATGGCAAACACATACATATTTTGCATGAGTGTAAAGTTGGAGACCAGATGATTCGGCAAATGGGTCAAAACTGTCAACAGAAATGAGTAAATGAATTACAATGAGCAAGGCAAACCAAATTGAAGCCTTTATCATAGCTTGGCATAAACCACTCACGGGATAGAAATTCCAGAACTGGCAAGGCCACCGCAGCTCTGTCGGACAATTTGCTTATTTGCCACAAAATATCTGGCAGCTTACGCATCAGGGCGTCAGGCATCTCCAAGATGAGAATCGCCATTGTATTGATGCAGACATCGGCAATGCCCGCCGGTATGAGGTGGTATAGGGATGTAATGATGGTGTTTTGCTGCGGCGGCAGTAGGCACTCGTGATAGATAACAAGCGATGCGATTGCTGGCACCACAAGGCGGTGGAACTCGTTGGAGTTGGATAATTTGAACTTATTGTTGGTAACCGAGTTAACTTTCAGCAATGTGTTCGCTAGCTTCTCAATGTCGCTACCTTGCAGAAGGGCCTTATTCTGCAGCACTGTGGGCAGCCTCGTTATAACCAGCTCAAACACTTTGAGATTGGACTCGTGCTCTAGACAGCGGATAATCAGATTACAGGCGCGCCGCATAGAAACTGTTGCTGTTTGCGTTTGTGCTTGCGCTGATAGTGGCAGCTCGATGCCCAAATAGTGGCTAAACTTTAAGGTTTCGGTGCCGTTCTTCGGATATCCAATGTGATAGGAGGCATTGGCGCGAATCTTGAGCAGCCATTCGAATATCTGCAAGGTGTTTCGTGCTGGATTAGCATATATAGGAGAAATATATACAATTCGATATCACATTACCTCATGCCGAACACTGCTTGCCTGCTCAAAGACCTTTGGCCTATCGTAGTGCAGTTCTAGATGATCCATTAAAATGTTGAATATCTTAATGGCATGTGTGGCCGGCTGGCGATGCAGCTTGATGGCAAACACCTTAACAAGCCCATCGACAGCAGCAGATATATCCTCGATCTCCGTCTTAGCTTTTATGACAATGCTGCTGCCCGGCTCCGCTGGACCGGCTTCAGCCGCAACTTGACGCATCTGTTCGAAGGGGCGATTGATGAGCGCCTCCAATATGTCCAACAGCTCCAAGCAACGTTTCGTATCACAATGGATTGCAAAGTTAGAGAGAGCAGAAGCGACTGCCTCGCGCACTTGTACGCTCGGCTCCTGATAGATCTGCGCCAGCTGTGGCACAACGACCCGATCGAGTATCTCCTCCTCATAGCTGTATCGATTCTGGTTCATAATCTGCTCGAGCGAATGGATGATCTTCTTGCGCACATTCACGTTAGACATGCGGTAATAGCGATGCACAAACTGGGACAAACACGAAAGCCACTCGGGTCGAGTTGCGGTCACCCGTTGCGTTCGATAGTCGATTAGGCTTAGGACAGAAGACTCAGGTCGCCGATCAGCGACCCGTTCTATAAGATCGTAAATCCGTTCCACATTGCAAAGTATTTGTGAGCGATCGTTTTTCAAGAGTTTCTCAATACAGTCGATATTCTCGTGAAAATTGATTTGTAAATGGTGCAATCGATCCTTGTTAATGCCCGAGCGCTCTGCAAGATAAGATACATTAAACAGAGTTGGAAATGGGAGATCATTGAGCGGGGATCTCGCAATACGCACCATACTCCTCGATGTTGTCGACAATCGCCGACATAATGTCGCAGATCAGATCCCATATTATCTCGGAGAGTTCGTGTCTGTATTTGTTGATCACCATGCGCACACTGAGTATCACCTCATAGGTCACGATCACCTCATTGCTATCCAGTGCCTAAAACAGTTAATCAGTTTATATATCAAGATAATAACAGACTCTTGGCTCGTGCACGTTACATTTCGAAAGCCCATCAACACGTTGGTGGCGTAAATCATCGATGAGACCTGAAAAATGACGTTCGAGCCGAAAATGTTCATGTTGAGATGAAACACGGCGCCTCGCAACAGTTGGGCGTCCTCGTACTGTCCCTTGTCGTTGAGTATGTTGCACATTATCTTCATGGAGTGATAGCCCAGCTGAGTGCCCAGCAAGTTCTTCATGATCTTAAAAACAAATTTTTTGATGAAATGAAAATTCAATTAGTAATCAAATTTCATTGGCGGCTCATTTGTCATTTGGCACAAGATTTGAAAGTTACATTCATAAAATTCCAAAAATATGAAAAAACAGATTGTTAAGGAGTTCATAACTGTGAAGAAGGTGCGATATTTGCCAAGAGAGGAGCCACCACCGCCTCCACCGCCACCACGCCGAGTGCTCATAGTGGGTCGCTGTACCTTGGATGTCATCAACATATGCAACGAGCAGCCAAAGCCCGGCATCATCGAGCGCACCGATGAGGGTTTCTGGCGGCTTGGCGGCTATGCCCCGAATACATGTTGCGTCCTGCGGCGTTTGGGCACCACCTGCGAGTTTCTCGGTCAGCTGACCAAGGTGCCCGCTTTCGAGAGCCTAACGAACAGCTTCCAGGCCATGGGCATAGAGATTTCCAATTGCCCGCGTACCAACCAACAGCCGCCGCATCGCATCATCGTCGCAGTGCGCGGCAAGGCTCAGCAGTCGACCGTGGAGTACACGAATCATTCACATGAGCTCACCTATCAGCAATTCGTGGGCGCCGTTGACTACCGCCAATACTGCTGGATACACTTCGAGTTGCGCAAAACCGGAGAGACCATCCGCATGGTGCGCGCTGTGCGTGCATACAATGAACGCAGTCCCGACGCTTACATTGTGCTGTCTGTGGACCTGGCCGACATGAAGCCCCAGAGCTGTCTCATGGCCGCCTTGGCCGACTATGTGCTCATCCGCAAACAGCTTAAGGTGGACAACGGCTACATGAATGGCCGAGAAACCGTGTGGGCAGTGCGCGACGTGATGGATGTCGCACGCAGGCGATGGCAGAGTAAGCAGCCAAAGAAGAGTCCATACATAACTGAGGAAATACCAGAGCTGGATCCGGTTACGTGCAGAAAGATAACATCTCACCAGCCGATTATAATATACAACAACTATGAAGAGGGCGCCAGTTGCCTAATGCCCGACGGCAAGTACTTCAAAGTGGGCCCACACAAGCCGCAAAAGATCGTCGATGCCATTGGCGAGGAGGAGACCTTCGTGGGCGCCTTCATCTATGCCATGCAGGGGGACAAGATGTCAATGCGCGATGCCATTGAATATGCCACACGAGCTGCCTGCTTCAAGGTCTCCATATATGGCTTTGATCAAATGCGCTGCATGCCCAAGGATCTAGTGGCGTGCTATCACGCCTGATGCAATGGGTGTACCTAAGAAATGTTTGTTAAAAAATTGTATGAATGGAAAAGCAATGCATTTTCGATTGTTGGTGAATCGTAGAATCGACATAGATAGCGACACTCATTTCGGAAGTCGGCAATCAAGTGGGGCATATTGATGTTTAGCTGGTTAATTATCAACCCAATTCGCGTCGATAAGAAACGGTAAACACCTGAACAGGGATCAGATAAGGTGTAAAAGAACATTCTTCGACTGACTAACAACTAGAATTTCATTACCATAAGCAAACAAATTGTAACCCCCAATCTGGCATCGGAAATGAGCTGATAAATTCATAGCCAGTCTGCTTTTAGTGCCATAAAAGTGGAGCCGATATCAAAGGTGTGAAGCATTCCACACAATTCTCTGGACACAAGTAAATACTCATGAAGAACTGTAAGTTTTGGTTACACCAATAATCTTCGATTTGGCATTCAAGAGATTCCTGGTCTTTCAGATCACCTGCAAGCGATTATTGTGCTATTGCTGCGTCTGGCGAGAGTCAGAGGCGACTCTGAAAGCGAGATTGAAGCGCTCTGCGGCACTGCCTCAACATGGACAATTATGCCGAATAAGCAGCATTGCGATAGGTTCTATGTATGCACGGGCATGGAAGCCAAGAGCTATCAGGAATTTCAGTGTCCGGTGGAATACCATTTCAACAGCCAGGAGCAACGTTGCGTAAGAGGCCCATGCTCCACCCGCTGCAACACGACTGGTGTTCACCGCTTGGAGGGCGATTGTACGCGCTTCAAGCGTTGCTCGAGCCAGGGCGAACTCTCAGTTATGAAGTGCTCCTATGGCTTCTACTTCGATGCCAGCCGCAAAGCCTGTCTGCCGGTAAACATAACGCCAGCTCATCAGTGCAGCTGCATATTGCCAGAGCACTCAATGCTGGCCAACTCGAACGACTGCCGGAGCTATTATACTTGTGTCGGCGGGCAGGCCGTGTTGCAGCAGTGTCCTCAAAATTATTATTATGAGGCTAGCGTTAACAGTTGCCTGCTGGATATGAGAGGTGAATGTCAGCCAGCTATTCAGCTGGTCGAGGTGCCCATGCAGGAGTGCCAAAAAGAAGGCAGTCGACTGGTGCCGCACTCGGAGGACTGCAGCCGATACTTCGTCTGCATTGGCAGCCGGGCCGTTGAATTGAGCTGCCCCAAGGGCCACAAATTCGATGTGGTCTCCCGTTACTGTACAGCTGATAAAGACTCCCAGTGCTTTACAGCGGCAACTAGCACACAAGCGACGCCAACTACAACTCTCAGAGTCAGCAAAGAAGAGCAGAAAGTGAACAGCAGCAAGCAAGCTGACCAATTGAGCGCTCACAAGGCCATGCCTGAGGAAATTAGCAACAACAAGTTGTCATCAAAATTTTTGTTACATTAAAAATAATATTCAATCCGTGTTATACTTGCCTGCCCCAAATAAAGTAAACTAATAGTCTGACATACCTTATACGAGGCCTGGCAGTAGTGATTGCTGTTCACTGTGCGGCACAAAGTGACGATGCACTGATGCAACGGCTCGCTGGGGAAGATGGTGTAGCCGATGACCATCTCCAAGACGGTCAGGCATTGTAGACCAATGTCATCGTTCGGCACCGTACAGCTCAGCTCGCAGGCATTTCTGTAACACAGATGGAATCAGTCAGTTTAGATAAGTCGTATTTGAAATGTCACCCACTGCACTATTCCAACGAGCACGTCTTTCTCCAGGTGGGCTGCATTGAACTTAATGAGATTAATCATCATCTGTAGATAGGGACTCAATAAATCGGCATGTGTGATAGCTGGTATCCAATGGAGCATAAATTTACCAATCTGCAAGCAAATCAAATTTATATTTGATAATTGAAGTTCCATGTGGCACCATTTCACCTTCTCTTCGAAATTGGTAATATCCTTGCCGTTTTCTGTGAGGGTGTCGAGCAGCTCCAGGAGATGCCGGAGATCCTCGTGAGCCTCATGATTCTGTATCACGAGGAAAAACTTTTCACGCATTATCGTCAGGTTTTTGTATTGTGTGAAAATGAGACGTTTATAGAAGCTCAAGGTAATTTGGCGCGTTTCTGCCGGTTTGTTGGGCACGATGAGATCGTTGGTTAGTTGCCACAGATTGGTTATCGAAGTCTGCAGGCGAAACAACATCAATATTTATTGGTTTATACAAATTGCCGGCTATCAAAGCCATTTGCCTTACTTCATCCAAATTAATATTCTGCAAATGTAAATCACTCAATTCCTTAAGCATTTTGCAGCGCTGTGCAATGGGCTGCTCTGGTTTAAGCTCGAGCTCAAACTCTGGACGCAATGTTCGCTCACCAGAATTTCCTGCCAAAATACAGCATGTTCATCGAAGCAATTGTTGCATTTATTTTAATCATTTTTACCTGGTGATTTTGTGCTCTTAAGAAAATTTTTAAACTTTGATTTATCTTTGGAACCCATCATAAATCGTTGTTTTTGCGTTTCTTAACGCCTAATGGTATGCCTAAAATTCGTTCACTTCAATTAAAATGTACAAAAAATAACACATTTATAGGGAACTGCAGCTGGATACTAAGCAATTTGGCCCAACTGAACAGAAATAACAAGAAAATAGTAGAGGTACTCCCTTCAAAAAGCCTTATTCACATAGTGTCCATAACACATGTTGTGCTGCCAGTTTATAATAATAATACAAAGAAAAAACAAAATAGAAATATAGCGCGAAATAATTTTATGAATTATAAAAACTTAGTGCCATATATTAAATTCAGTTAGTGTTGATTTATTATTTCGGCATAGTTAGTTTCTTTCCATCCCTGGGCATATTGCTCGGTGCATCTTCATCACAGCAATGTGATTATGTTCAACAACAATTGTTCTTCGAAAAACTTGTCTGTATATCGAGCTAATAAATAGTTGATTTTATTCAATATAGAAATTCATTTATTCAGAGGGTTTTAACTAATGTAAGGAATTAAAATATTTTAACAATAAATTTGTGACTCTGCTGGTGGTTGGCGAAATGTCAAGTTTTCGCTGAACAAAATCATATGTTTTCAAATTGTGAACCATATGATGACCGACAATAAGTGACTTTGTCGCTCATTTTGTGTAAGGAATCGTTCCATGGAACTTATTCCGATTGATCAGAGACAACTCTATTTTGTAGCGCGTCCCAAAAAGTGAACAAATTGCATTAAGCAAAAGAGAAAATAAATATAATATAAATTTGTGTGCGAGTGTCATAAAGTGCTTAAATACGCATCTGGGAGAGACACATTTTATATTACTATATATTGCAAAGCTAGTGGTTGTTTACAAATTTTGTAATTATCTTAAAAGCTTAAGACGTACGGCGTGCTTGTGTTCTTGATTGCAAAAAGAACGAAAACAACAGTTATTTGTCGCATTTGACGCATCAAGCCAGACAAAGGTAAAAAGTCATATTCATATACATACATACATGCTCATGTGTTTTGCATAAGTATAAAATCGTAACAATATTTGCACATGAGATTAATACGATTATATTACGCTTCGCCGTCATTCGCACTACATATTAGCAAGTCTATGTAAATACATGCATACAAACTTGCGTTGCGTGTGTGTGTACACAAAAGTGTGTACATATGTATGTACATAGATGGGCACATATGCGAGTGTGTGCGTGCGATGTTTCATGAAAAATAATTTCATCGGACCATTTTCGCTCGCTTTTCAAATTCAGTTGTCCTTGTCGCTTATGCACGCAGCTTAGCTCGTATTATCGCCATTTTTACAATCTATATTGTAACAATTTTTGTGCAATTTAATTTTTATTTTATTTTAATGCGAAAACATTGTCATTATATTTAATTAACAGCTATTTTAACATAAATCATGAGCTCAACTGAAGAGAACAGCCCGGCAACCACGCCACAGGAAAACGAGCCAACAGCTGAGCAAGCAAATCCCAGAGATTTGGAGAAAATTGAAGAGGAGAAACTTAAGTCAAAATATCCAAGTGGGATGCGTGTGCCTGGTGGTCATTCCGCCTTCCTTCAAAAGCGTCTTCAAAAGGGAGTAGGTTATCTGTTTTCATCTGTTTCATCACTAACAATTCTAACTCTTCATATTATTTTCATAATTTAAGCAAAAATTCTTTGATTCTGGAGATTATCAAATGGCAAAGCAAAAAGGTGGAGGTGTTAAGCAGGTGTTTGCCAATAAGGTTACTACCGGCGAGGCTATACCAACGCCGGAGACGGTGCCTGCTCGAAAAACGTCGATTATTCAGCCATGCAACAAGTTCCAAACGACGAGCTAAGCAACATATTTTACTGTTACCTAGAAGCTCTTCACCCCTGATGCGCTCCAAATGCTCTTTAATTAATATTCTAGTTTATTACTAAGTTGGCTGATCTATGATGTGCACTTAGCCTTTGCGCTGGCGCTCGGTTTGCCGAATTGTAAACATTTCATTCTCAAGTCTTCAAGTTTCTTTGATTTGGTTATTTCCGTGAACCCGCATTTGTTTATTTTTTTTCTTTTCCCTTTGCTCCAATAAAATCGCGTATCTATATATCGAGCTTGCGCCAATCTCAAGAACATTGAATGTATTATTGCACTCCTGAAGCAGCACGTAACTCTTCAAAAGTTCTAATTAATATATTATTCTGATCGTATATAGCTGTAAGTTATTGAAATCGTAATAAACTTAAGTTGTAACCAGTTCAATTCAAGCTGTATTTAATTACTTCTTAATTTTAATTATAAACCGATCATCTTTTCCGGCTGCAAGTATTGTTGCAAATCAGTCACAATGCAGAAATGTCCGTAAGTATTTAAATATGCTATTGATATAAATGCCCAATAAAAAAAAAAACAATAATGAATAATATCGTATCACGATTGCACGAAATTGTTTGTTATCGATGAATACTTTAGTAACAGCAGGCCGAATTCATCTTCAGTCTCATCTCCAAAACATTGAAAGGGAAAAAGAAACCAGATTAATTTATTTGCAATAAATTTGTATTGGAAATTATTTCATTAATAAGCTGTATTTTTTTATTTTGAATGGAAGCAGTTTGTAATTCCAACGAGCGTGTTGTCAGTTTAGTTACGAAAATAGTTGCTCAACTTTCGCGAAATGAGCGCGCTCAAACGGATGAAGCAGCTGCAGTGCAGCCGTCGCCTGCTTCCATTATGGAGAGACGCAGAAAACTCTACGAATCGCTACTGTCATCTCAGAAGTTTGAACAATGCACCGACTTAAATTGTGCATTGGGAAACAATATTGAAAATTGTGTCCAAACCATGTATATCAACCTGGAAAAGCAACAGACCGATCGGCAACAAAAACTTACAAAGTCGGTTGGCTTAAGAAGGACAAGCAATATGATGTTAGCTAAGCCTCTACGATTGCAATCGAGTCCTTGTTTCGAGGAGCAGTTTCCACAATATACTGTTAACACAGCTCCTAAGATTTTAAGATCAATCGAGAATATGCGGGACGCGATGAAGCCGATTGTTTTCCGCACCTTATCAACTGTATATCTAAAAGACATTAATGCAATGCGCAATGCCCACAAGAATCAGATCAAGTCCAGCTTAAAGTCCTCAATACTGAAGGATTCAATGGCACGGATGAATGAATCCAAGGGAGGAACAAGTCGTGTGAAGATTAATTTGCCTTTGCGTGATAAAGACGAACCGCCTTTAAGTGAATCCCTGGCTGAGAAAGATTCATCGACTGATGTAACACTGGAGAAACATTTTGTTTCGGATCTACTCTTAAGCAACGAGCTCGCATGGCACATGGATAAGACATTGAAATTAACCTTCATTAAGCTGCCGCTTCTTATCGAGCATCTAAAACAGGCTGCAGGTCAGCAAATGTGCATCAACTGAAATTTCGAATTATTAATTATGTTCTACTTATCTAAAGCGGGTCTGCAATCAGACACAATTGTGTGCACGGCCGAAGGAAATTTTATGATGAAGCCTCACATAACACTAGACATTGTTTTGCCCGAGCTGCTGGCTGAATACGCAGACCCATTCCTTGTCTCTGGCAGAGCCTATCGTCGGCTCAGTGCGCGCACACAGTGTCAATACGAATCGATTCGCAATGAACGGCCTCTCAACAGAGTGAGCACAAACAATAAATATTTTTAAGGTTTATTAACGCAACCATGGTTTATCTTTACAGGCTTTGCGTCAGGCAATAATTAATTTTATTACGAATAGCCGACTCTTTCTACTATCGATACCTGCCGAAAATTTGGGACAGTTGCTGAGCGGCGCAGGCCCCACCATGGAGCTAATAAAGCAGATGGCCCAGCTGTTTGAACTGGAGCAGAGTAAGATAAGATCTCTCGCAACTGTCCTACTGAACTTTAATGTATTCGAAATTTCAGTATGCGATACGGAAGGAATAGACGGCATGTGCGCAATGAATCTGATGAGCTTCGTTTGGTCGTTCATTAATGGGGGCATAGATTGCACATTCTCACAATTACTAATGTACCTGTTGAGCTCGCTGTGTGAGACGTACTTCTCACAGCTGAAACGTTGGATTTACCAAGGCGAGCTCGACGAGCCCTTCAACGAGCTCTTCATTAATTCTTGCACACATAAATTAATGCACGAGCGCAGCAAAGAGTATTTCGACAAGGCTTATTATATACGATCCGATCTAGTGCCTGGGTTTCTAGTGGGCTGTGAACAGCCCATACTTCAATGTGGAAAATACAACCGATTTCTTAAGACCTATAATGCTCAGGTGAGTAGATATAATATGTTTATTAAAGAGATTGATAAGTAGATCAATTGCCCTTTAGCATCCAATATTCAGTTTAAAGTATCCCAACTTGGTTCTCTGCCTATCGGAGCAGCATCTGTTAAAAATTCGCCAGGAATTGGAGCTGCATTACGATCATATACGTCAGAAAATCAAACCATTTAAGATGCAAACCATCCTCGAGGATCACATAGAGAATAGCCAACGCTACGGTAACCGCATGTGGGATTGCACTCAGTCCTTTATTGCAACTTGGAAGCAGGAACTGCTTGACCTACAAATAGAGGCGGACATCAAGAAAAAACGTCGCTACGAAGAGCTCAATGAGCAGCGAGAGCAACAAGAACAAGTGCGATTGGAACAACAGCGCTCTGAGCTGATTCTGGAGCTAGAATACTACGAAAAATCTAATAAAATCGAAGAGCAACGTTTGCAGCAAAAGAAAAAGGAGTTGGAAGAGAAAGTTGCTGCGTTAAAGCAAAAGATGACAGCTTCACTGGCATCGGCTGAAGTCGCCAGCCCAGACGACAGCACAAGCAGTAGTCGCAGTTTTGTGTCGTGCGAGGAACCAGACATAGAGATAGTTGCGGATAAGCGAGAAACAGCAGAGATGGCACAGCCCAATTCAGTTGATCTAGCAGAGACCAATCCAGTTGAAGTGGCAGAGCCCGATCCAGTTGACGTGTCAGGGCCCAAATCAGATGAAGAAGAACCCAATCTAGCTGATGTGCTCAATTCGAATGAGACCGACAAGAGTTTGGCCCGTAATCGTATGCGCAACAATTCATCCGAACAGTTCCAGGAATGTCAAATGAAAGTGCAGCTGCACCAAATAGCACACACCAGTGCAGCTTCTTACACAGACGCGGAGCTGAATCGTTTGCGAGTTCTCAATTGCACGGGCCAGCAACTCGGCACTAAATTGCCGCCAGACATGAACATGAATATCGAAGATCTCACAGACCTGCAGCGCAATCGCTTGCGCATGCACCAGCATAATAATTTCAGTTCGCTTAACCATGAAGACGAGCTGAATAGCGATTCTGAGAAGCGTCTGTTGCACTCAGACACGGAGCTGGCACGAAATCGCCGTCGCGTGATGGAAGGCGACTTCACAATCAGTGGAGGCCTGGGCAACACCTTGCATTTGCCATTGCAGTCACAGGACCCCAGAGTGGAGTCCACATTAGACATTGGAACACCCATGTCCATTACATCCGATGTGGAAATCGATGTCCAGATTCCAAATGAAGTTATTGACGCGACTAACAACAATAACACAAATAGCAGAATTGTGATCAATGATCAAGAAGAGATCGAAGAGGCACCCGTAGTGACTGAGCCTGCGCCCCGAATACTGCCTGTACCGAAAGAGAAATCCGTTTTTAGCTTACCCATAACACGAAGTGATAGGGAGCAGTCACATGCTGCGAGTCCGATGGAAAAAATCGGTCATAATCCATTTTTAGTCAAACGATATATGCAACTGTCTGTCCTGTTGCCAGTTAAAATGCATTTGTCGCTATTGCGTAACGAGGTTCTGCGCATATTCCATGAGCAAAGGATTTTTGATTATTTTTGCGATCTACGCAAATATTTCTTTTTGCTAGACGGAGAATTTGGAACTGTGCTTATTGGCGAAATCCTGGGTCGCATTGAATCCGGCTCAGTGCCACATAGTATGTGCCAAAAGGGCGTCCTGGACTCCATACTTAACAATGCTCTCGCTAACAGAGCGATAGAGGGGTCTGAATCGGCCATAGTTGCCGATAATTTGGCTTTGAATTGCACGACCATACCGGAAAGTTTTGATCTAATGGACATCAATGCTCTGTCCATATTCCAGCTGGAGTGCAAGGTGGAGTGGCCTTTGAATCTGGTGCTCAGCGTAGAGACCATGGAGAAGTATAGGCAAATATTCTCTCATTTGATGAAGTTGCGGCATATCAGCTTTATAATGGAACGGACCTATCAAGACTTCCAGCAATCATCGAGACTCTATGGTCGGAGGCTACAACAATCGCCGCAGTATCGTCATTTGCAAATGATTCGCCATAAATTATCGCACTTCGTGTTTACGCTGCAAAATCATATAGTCACAAATGCATTAGAGGGCACGTGGAAGACTTTTACTGATGATCTAATCGCGGTAGGCTCTGTAGAGGAGCTTTACCAACGACACGTGGACTACTTAAAGGAGATTGCATTCTTTTCGCTACTTAATCGTCGGAGCGTTAAATTTCGGGAAACCATCGATAGTATACTTGTGATTGCCCTGCGTTTTTGCAAGTAAGTTGGAATTTAAAAAACAGTAAATGTACATTTTTGATTATTTAAATAATAATTTGGTACACATTTCCTACTTTGCAGAATTCTGAACTCGAAGTCATTTGTTTTGGATGAGGGTAATCAGTTTGTTCATCCACGTTATAAGCGATTGGTGTTTGAAGAAACAGAATTTGAGAAATTCATTCGTTATGCCATCTACTTGGGAAACAAGGTTGCTGCTTCAGGATACCAAGCTAAAATAATTGATCTTATACGTATCATTAATTATAATAACTACTATAAAGTATCTAGCAAGAATTAAATAAAATGTTATTAGTCTATGTTTTATTTAACATATATTCTAAAAAAGAATTTTGAATCTTGCCTACTATTGTGATTTCATTGAGCTGAATAAACAATTTGTTCAACGGAAGAAATTTAAATTCAGACTTTTATTCACAGAGTTATTAGTATTTTATGTGTAGCGTTTATGGCCACACTGGCATAGACTTGAAATTCAAATATATCGATAGCATTTCGATATATAACAATATTTTGTTTACCGACTGGTGCGGCAAAGCGTAGCGAGTTAGTTATTGACTACCTGCGCGACGAATCTGCGTATCACCCCAAAAATATTAAGTTCGGAAGAAGCGGATCGCTGACAGGTCAGCAATCAACAGGCTGAGCGACTTAGCCATATCTGTAATGCTCGACTATAGGTCGACATTGCATATTAGTACAGCACGTTCATCGTACAACATGGACAGAACTTCTGATGCGGATGCGGTAAATACAATAACCACAATGGCCAGTGTCGAGGTGCAGTTAAATAGCTCCTATATCCTTCAGTGTTCAGTGTCTTCGCTAGAAAGCGAGAGTGATTTATCGTTGGCCCTTGAGCACGAAATGGGCCAGCCAGTCGACTGTGACGAGCTGCCCGCCTTCGAAATACGGGCTTACTCTCCTCATGGGCGCACGCCGTCGCCAATTGATGATTTGAATGCATCAGACTTGGAAACGCCAAAGCAGCTGCCGGTCCAACAGCAGCGCAGCCCTGGGCGCCAGAATAATCCAGAGTTTGTGGCCTTGCACGAGATCAATGCACAAATTAGTGCACCCAACAATAACGAAAATGGAGATGACTCAATAGTGGGCCTAAAGTCTGCCAACAGTTTGGAAACTATTTTTGAAGGTGTCTTTTTGCATACACCCCCGCGCGAGAAACTGAACAAAAGTGCAGGTTACGGCTCGAATCCTAGCTCGGCAAGTCGCTACACACCAAAACGCAGTCGCGCTAATTTGATGGAATTGGTGGCCATGAATCGTCTGCACCTCGATGGACAGGAAAATCAATCGCCAAGCAAGCAGCTGCAGGACGAGCTCACTTAGTTTCCGTTATCGGGGCAATAGGGCCCAAACCAAAGCCATATATGACACATTTGCTTAGACTGCCACAGATTTCCTAGTTATAAAAATTTATGTACACTTTGTGTATCTTAATAGATAAGCATTACTTTTATATAATTTTATATTCTGGATGCTGAATTTAAATAGTAAAACATCTGTCTTTCCATGTTTTAAACATTTAAGGTAATGCGTGATTTATTTTATGGCTCGGGGACTGGGCTGCGCTTTCCATTCCTTTGTTATTTACAGGTAGACCAATCATGCGACCAGGTAGTACCCGCATTGGTTACCTGAACAAATGCCGGTGACCAATGCGAGGATGTATTAAGATCAAACAGCTGGCAAGCTTTAGAAGTTTTTATCATCCAGTTGATTCACACATCTGCTTTTCGCGTTGCAAATGAGATTACAAATTTACAAAAGGCTTGGCCTAAAATATTATTCACAGGTTTGATTCATTTGGCCATTATTTAAATCGGAAGACCGCTTTTACAAATTTGAAGTAAGATTACATTTAAAAAGGACGATTTACACTTTTAAATAAAAACCTCATTTTTCATTCCCTTACGTTAATTTTAATAGTAATATTTGGCTTAGAATTAAAAACATTTTACATTTAATTTCTATAAAGTTTTTCCTGTACATATATACATATACATACTTTTTATATTAAGAAGTGCTTTGTCTTTTGATAACAAAAAATAGAATTTTAAACTTTAATCTTAGTTCTTCCACATTTATACATCCATAAACTAAGCTAAAGTTTTGATTTTTTATAAAAACCAGAAAACTTAAAAATAACTTCATGTTAAAAAAAAAAATAAAATATAGTAATTATAGATGAGTAATTGGATAAAATTGAAGTTGCGTATATAAAGGTATATAAAAAAATATATGTATATAAATACATATAAGTAAATATATGTATATCAAAAACACTACTTCATATTATCCTACTTATAAAAAATTCTTGAAAACAGAGGAGTAATAACGATTGGGAGTGCTTATTAAGTGTGGGGGAATGTCTGATGAACACACAAAATAATACGAATGTATATATCGTTAAACTGTTAATTTCGTAAGATTTCTTGTACAGAAATTTGTAAGTGAGGTGGCGCAACATATACATTTGCTGTCGAACGCTGTACAACTTAATATATATATTTTTATATAGCATTGTTTCATTCAAATGGTCAAAAGTTCTTAGAGTGACGTGACGCAGAAAACACTTTCACGCGTAGCAGACCCGGATTGACCTCCTGCCAGCTGAAAAACATTACTGATTAAAAATGTTACGTTATTTTGTAAGATGAAAGACGTACCGTAAATGTCGTTCAGCTAATCTAGCCTTCACATGTTTCTTAATGGTTGATACTCCATTTGCACTGTGTAGTCCTCGGCCCGTTATGATGAAGACATGCTTATAGACTCGTGTGCAATTCCGTAGCACATTTATGTGGCGATCCAGGAACAGATCGAGACTGCTAACTGCCTCTATGGTATGCAAATAGTGTAAATCGAGCAGATCCGGATTGTTTTGCGTATGCTTGTGCACCTCCATGATGCAATTGGCCGCGCGATGATTGAACACGTCGATCTTCTTCTTGTGCAGCTGAGCAATCTCCGAGTAGTAGAGCGCAACGCTTCCATTGCCTTGCTGTATCGCCTGCTTGGCCTTCAGGTTGCATTCGGCTCTCAGTTGAGCGTGGTGGGCGGCCAAATTGCGTGTCTCCTCAAAGTCTCGCAATGCGGCACATTTGGCCTCTTCGTGCAGCTGCGGAGACTGCGCTTTGCCATTGCCAGCAATACGAGGGCTGGCGACTTTCGTCTGTGGCTGCTGTTGCACTTGTTGATTGAGCTATTGTAAATTAAAATTAAATAAAATAAGAGCTCATATTGCTATTAATAGGTAGTGATTGCGCTGACCTTTTCGTTTTCACGTTGTGCCTGCTCATAGAGCTCGGCGCTGGTTAGTTCGACCTTCGCATTGCTGTCCAGCACCTCCACGGTCTTAGCATAGTTGTTGTCCGTGTCCGCAAAGACCTGAAGCAAGGTATCGGGTGGGATTTCGGGAAATTTCTCGCACAGCTTCATTTTGGTTAAGTGAGTGGCAATATCATTTGGTTTATTTTGAATCGCATGATTTGCTGCCTGCTGTTCGCTGTTGTAGATGCTCCAGGCAAGCTCCATATCAAGCAACTCATTAACATTGCCAGGCGATTCGCTGCAGTCGGCATACTTCGGATGTTTAAGCAGACGTGCGAATTGCTCGTCGTCTCGCAGTGTCTGCTGACGCTGTTCCTCGAGCTGATTATGCACTGATTCCATCCAGATCATGTAGAGCTGTTTGGCCAGATGTCGCGGCAGGAACACTTTGGTTGGCAATGACTCCGACTCTTTGGGAAGCATTTCACCCTCCCACTGAAAGTGACTGCGCAGCTGTTTAATCAAACATTCACCCAGATCCATTTCTAACAATGTATTATCCTCCGAATCGTCGTCGTCCTCATCAGCAGCTGAAGAAGCACCAGCGGCAGCAACCATGAGTGGTGCTGGCTCCACGACCGGTGGTAGCGGTTGATCTAAAATCCCATTGCGTATGTCTCTTATCTTGCGCGTATGCTCCGAATACTGATCATCGCCCAAAACAAAACAGTTCTCGATCTCCAACTGAAGTTCTCTGTTGGCAAAACCATTGCCAGCATTGCGTTTGACACGTGGCTGGCGCTGCGGCTTGGACTGATATTTATTGGATATCGGTGGGGATAGAGCAGCAGCGGCAGCAGCTACAGTTGGCCCTTGAAAATTGTTCCGGTTGCATTTGCATTGAAATTCTTCGACTTCCTGGGGCAACGTCTCGTCGGCATCGTCCGATTTGAGCTCATCCTCTTTGATCAATATGTCAACGGCCCAATCCACATCGCCGTTGCACTTACCATATAAATCCCACAGCCCACTTAATTGCTTGTTCGGATACATTTGACGCAATTGCGCAAAGCCAGACGCCTCGTTTGGACAGTTCAAGCTGTGCCGCTGCAAGGTATTCTGAGGGACACCTATGGCCGATGCTGGATCCACATTTACCGCTACTGCCGGTTGCTCATCACGCAGCAAATCCAACAGGGAGCATTCACCTGTTGCTCCTGCAGCACTAGTTACAGATGCCTGTACGGGCAGGTCACTCTGCTGAGCCCAATAATTGTTCACATTTTGCTCATACGGCAGCCAAGTCTGAGCATTAACATTTAGTTTAAAGCTGTCCAATTGGCTTGTGGAGCCGGATCGTTCCGGTTGTTGAGACGGCGTTAGTGGTGCTGGCAGCGTCGGTAACGGCGGGTGTAATCGCAGCTGCGGCAATGACACTGTGTATTTGGTATCTTTAAGAAACTGTTTAAAAAGAAATAACTTAATAATAGTAATAAATCATATTCATAATTTTACATACTCCGATTAGCTCAGAGACGTTGGTCTTCTCATAGCGATCTAGCATGCGTTTTATGGCATCTTTCGGCACCTGGTGCACGTTTTTTTGAGCCAGCTTTGTAGCAGATTTGGACCAGCTTGTTTGGGGCTCCAGTAGCTCTATTAGATAACCATGCTGCACGGCGATCTGTACGTAGGGCTGCATTTCCCATTTCATAATATTCGTATTGTCCACTATGATTGGGCTCCAACCAGCTGCCGCTTTGCACTTCACACGCTCCTTATTCCAGTCATGGGCTTCTGGTAGAAAGTTGGGATTAAACTCATAGCCCCGAGGCGTGAGAAAGTAATCATCGGTGCTATACACGAAATCCGTAATGGGATGTTGATCCAGCAAATGAATTTGATTCAATATTGCTTTGGCCATTGTGGATTTGCCACTGCCCGCAGGTCCCCGCATAATGATCATAATTTTTTGGCCAGCTTGCGCTTTTCTACAGATCTCATTGAATTCCTTGGTCTGGCTGTTGGCGTTCATTTTTGGCGTTGCTGTTGTTGCTGGCGCAATGTATTTGTTTGTGTTACAATTGCTGTTATTGTTGGTGGCTTTGCTGTAGTTGTTATTGTTATTGTTGGTGTTGGTATTGTTCTCTTCATTTACGGAGAGTTTCTCGTTAAGCCAGCATGCAATATTTTCCGCTTGCTCAGCAAAGTTTCCCGCCGCTGACATTTTTGTTGTGCTCGCTGCTTTTCTCTGTTTTTTGCATACAATTTTCGCCTGGCACCAAATATTAAGGACATACACACATGTGCAGAATACATATATATAACTGCGCAATTATCACAGCTATAGCGCCAATGGATGATCCTCAGAAATATTTAGAGACAAAATATTAACCTCACCTCTAATACCAATAGCAAGTAGTTTTCAATTCAAGATGTGTCTTAATTTTCGATATGTTGCACAAGTAGTCGTACATCGTACTCTGGATTAATTATTATACAAATCACTGTTTTCGTTGCCAATTTCGAGCGAAGTTCTTAAAAAAAGGCAGTAAATTTTCCAAAACATTGTACAATGTACTCTACGGACCGTCGACATACTCGATAGTGGTATCGATATTCGGTTATCTTAGAAATTGGACAGCTATTAATGGTATCATCCCTATGTGCAAGATTTTGCCAACAAATATCGCAATTTATGTACAAAGTTAAATTTTAATGAGTCCTCTTTTTATTCAATACATTGTTTTTGTGTTAAGATGTTATGCGTACTGTATATATATTTAATGCTTTTCTCGTAATTCATTTCCACTCAGTGATCTGGTTTGAGTGACCAGCATACCAAACGGAACGATACATTTATTTATCGATATCTTTTAATGCACGCATCTCTATTGCAAACAGCTGCATCAGAAATCGACGGTGTATCCACGCTTTTGTGAAGCTCATTTTTAATATAAAAAACAGCAAATAAATTGAAAAAATGACTGACTGGGTTAAAATTGCTGAAGACCAAGAAATACCGAAATTGAAAATTGATTTAAATGCAGATGAACCGGCTCCGGCAACAACAGCCAGCAAAGACAATGAACCCGATGTTGCGGACCCAGCGGAAACGAGTCTACTTATAAAAATATTGGGCAAGGGACTAGTTAACACCAAGCAGTCATTGGATATTCAACAAAAGAATCCGAATTCTCCATTGCATTCAGTGAAAACATTCGAGGCATTACATCTGAAACCCGAACTACTAAAGGGTATATACGCAATGGGCTTCAATACGCCATCAAAAATTCAAGAAACTGCATTGCCAACTCTGCTTGCTGATCCACCACAAAATATGATAGCACAAAGCCAATCGGGTACAGGAAAAACCGCTGCATTCGTCTTGGCAATGCTGAGCCGTGTAAATGTTGCCCTGGACCATCCTCAAGTTCTTTGCCTATCGCCCACATACGAGCTTGCAATTCAAACTGGAGAAGTCGCCGCACGCATGGGCCAATTTTGTCCGGAAATTAAACTGAGATTTGCAGTTCGTGGCGAAGAAGGTAATTTATTTTCTTATAAATATATATGTATAATAATTTCATGTGTATTCGAAATTAGTTGATCGCAACTCAAAGATTACGGAACATATTTTGATTGGAACGCCTGGCAAGATGCTAGACTGGGGTCTCAAGATGCGTCTGTTTGATATGAAAAAGATACGAGTATTCGTATTGGATGAAGCAGATGTTATGATTGCTACACAAGGACATCACGATCAATGCATTCGAATCCATAAAATGCTGAGTTCACAATGCCAGATGTTGTTCTTCTCGGCAACCTACGACAAGGAGGTGATGGATTTTGCACGCTTGATTGTGCCGGAGCCAACTATAATTCGATTGATGCGCGAGGAAGAATCTCTGGACAATATTAAACAATATTATGTAAATTGCAAAAACGAGGAAGGCAAATACAATGCCATCCAGAACATCTATGGCTGCATAAGCATTGGCCAAGCTATCATATTTTGCCACACACGCAAAACAGCCGCTTGGCTGGCAGGTAAAATGGCAGCCGACGGACATTCAGTTGCTGTTCTCTCTGGCGACTTGACCGTGGAGCAAAGGCTGGCCGTTTTGGACCGGTTCAGGTCTGGACAGGAGAAGGTACTCATCACCACGAATGTTCTCTCACGCGGCATTGACATTGAACAGGTGACAATCGTTGTTAACTTTGATTTGCCTGTGGATCTACGCGGTAACGCCGACTGTGAAACCTATTTGCATCGCATAGGTCGCACTGGACGATTCGGCAAGTCGGGTATTGCTATAAATCTGATCGATGGGGAGAAAAGCATGTCCGTTTGCCGTGCTATCGAGAAACACTTTCAGAAAGATATAATTTATTTGAACACCGATAATGCTGATGATATTGAAAAGATTGGTAATTAATTCATTGCAATCATTCCTCTCATTTACCACTAAGCCAGCAAGTATGTGAAATTTCTATTGAAATAAAAAAAAATTTTGAATTCAAGGTGTCATACTTATTTATCTATATATCCCAAATAAAAGCCCCGCATATTCATACAAGCAATTAATTCATAGACAATTAAATAATTATTTATTTAAAATGAAATGCCTTAAATGGGAATGAAGTTTCTTGAACAATTACATCTTTGTCCATATCTTTGTGGTTACTATCAAAATAAATATCCATTCTATTCCAGCTTCTGCACAATTATTTCGTGTTCATTGGATCGGTTTCTAAAATATAAATTTGCATAACATCTTCAGACTCCAGAACGTGCACTTTGTTAAGCCAATTCCTAGATATATTATTCCCTTTACCAGAGCTGGTACAAATATACAGATTAATTTCCCTATTGAGAAAAGCAATGGCGGCAAAATCATAAGAACACATTTGCATAACATCTTCAGACTCCAGAACGTGCACTTTGTTAAGCCAATTCCTAGATATATTATTCCCTTTACCAGAGGTGGTACAAGTATACAGATTAATTTCCCTATTAAGAAAAGCAATGGCGGCAAAATCATAAGAACACATTTTCCTACGTTATAAATTAGGATGCACGAATATTTTAATATAACAAAAAGTACACCTCCACATCCCACAGAAACACAACGTATATTCGCCCAATTAATTGAATTACAAAAACACTCGAATGTTTCGTTAATAAATCTAAATGTAAATGAACTTCTGTTTTCGTTATTATTATTATTTTGCCTATCGTAATTGGCACGCAAGACTGGATCAGATAGCACTAAATAGGCCTCAAGAATTTTTTGGAATTGCTGCGTTTGGGCGTTTTTACTATTATAATATTGAGCAGCCAATTTACGAAATGCTTTTTCAATATTCTTAGTTGTAGCATCCTTTGTTATGCCCAGAATTTCGTATAAGTTCGTGTAGTCTTGATCAGCGTTTTGATATTGAGATTCATTATGATAACTGTTCCTGTTTGTATGTTCCCGGTTTCCTTGATGGCTAAAATTGTTACGATTGCGATCGTCCTGATAAGAGTTTTGATTGCGGAACCCATTTTGTTGACTATTCCAATTTTTATTGTCCCGGTTTTCTTGCTGCTGGCTATAATTGTTCCGATTGCGATCGTCCTGATGGGAGTTTTGATTTTTATTGCCCCGGTTTTCTTGCCGATGGCCATAATTGTTCCTATTGCGATCGTCCTGATGTTCTCTTTGCTTATCTCTTTGGTTTCCTTGATTATTATGATTATTTTCATAGCTGCGATCATAGTTTGATTTCGAGTTCTCATTTTTATGATTGCGTCCGTTCGACTTGTCGTCTTTAGTCGCCCCTGGCTTGCCCCGCTTATTACTTTGGTCATGATTATAGTTGGATTTTGTGCTCTTCTGTGAGTGGTGCGACTTCTTTCCTTGCTGTCTAGATTGTTCATTTTTTTTATTGATATATGTCTCATCATACTCTTTACGTAGCGCTGGATCTAAAAGTACTCTCTTTGCTTCATTTATCGCCTTACTCATTTCCACAGCATGTTTATTTCCTGGATTCTTGTCTGGATGCCATTTCAATATAAGTTTATAATAGGCTGATTTGATTTGGTTTTGGGTCGAGTTTTGCCCAATCTGAAGAGTTTTATAGTGATCTTTAAAGCTGGATCTCATTATAAATGGTGTTTCTTAATAAATTAAAGCACTAAGCTATGTGTTGTCTGGTTAGTGGTACGTGTGATCTCCCGATTTCCGCTAGCGGCTAGCCTTGCTTCTGTTAACTTAACATTACTTTGCAAGTTATTAATAGCGAATTCAAGTAATCGGAAAATATCGAGAGCATCACGATGGTCTTTTAAGCGGGCTTATGTATTAGCCGAAACCATGGAAAAGAGAGTTATCAGTTAATACTTCGGAAAACAGAAAATATGCATAAAACTTCATTGAAAACCAAATACTCATATTTAACTAAAATAAGAGATCGAATCATTGATTGATGAAAATTAACAACAAAACATGTGAAATAGTATGATTAATTTATATTTATATATTTAGCTCAAGATTTATTGCAAGGCTCTTTCAAATTATTCAACCCTGACCTGATGCCCACTTCCATATACTAGACAGTACATTACTAGAGGAGGTCGTGGTAGATAATGTAGAATCACCAGTTTGTGAAGAAACCTTGCCCATAGTCCATTGCCAAGCCTTTAAAAGTGGGCCAACAGACGAAGCGACTGCAGAAGATACTGTTGAGTCTCCACTTTGAGATGTCATCTTCTTTGCGGTCCACTCCGAAACGCTACCTGCCGTTCCTGATGTCCATGACCAAGCTTTCGAAAGAGCTCCGGCAGTGGAGCCTGCAATATCAGTAACACTTTGAGATGATATCTTGTTTGCGGTCCACTCCGAAACGCTACCTGCCGTTCCTGATGTCCATGACCAAGCTT